ACTTGCCCCAGATAAGGAAATACCCCAGGGAAGGGGGCCCGGGGACTTACCCCCGATAGGGAAATACCCCAGGGAAGGGGGCCCAGGGACTTGCCCCCGATAGGCAAATACCCCAGGGAAGGGGGCCCGGGGACTTGCCCCCAATAGGGAAATACTCCAGGGAAGGGGCCGGGGACTTGCCCGATAGGCAAATATCCCGGAAGGGGCCGGGGACTTGCCCCCAATAGGGAAATACCAGGGAAAGGGCCCGGGACTTGCCCCCGATAAGGAAATACCCCAGGAAGGGGGCCCGGGACTTGCCCCAAAAAGGGGACGGGGGCCGGGGACTTGCCCCCGATAGGGAAATACCCAGGGAAGGGGGCCCGGGACTTGCCCCCGATAAGGAAATACCCCAGGGAAGGGGCCCGGGGACTTATCCCGATAGGAAATACCCCAGGAAGGGGCCCGGGGACTTACCCCAATAGGAATACCCAGGGGAAGGGGGCCGGGGACTTGCCCCCGATAGGTAAATACCCCAGGGAAGGGGCCCGGGGCCTTGCCCCGATAGGGAAGTACCCAGAAGGGGGCCCGGGGACTTGCCCCCGATAGGAAATATTCCAGGGAAGGGGTCGGGACTTGCCCCCGATAGGGAAATATTCCAGGGAAGGGGGCCCGGGGACTTGCCCCCGATAGGGAAATACCCCAGGGAAGGGGGCCCGGGACTTCCCGATAGGGAATACCCCAGGGAAGGGGGCCCGGGGACTTACCCCCGATAGGAAATACCCAGGGAAGGGGGCCCGGGACTTGCCCCCGATAGGTTAATACCCCAGGAAGGGGCCCGGGGATTGCCCCGATAGGGAAATACCCCAGGGAAGGGCCCGGGACTTCCCCCGATAAGGAAATACCCCCCGGGACTTACCCCGATAGGAATACCCCAGGAAGGGGCCCGGGGACTTGCCCCCGATAGGAAATACCCAGGGAAGGGGCCCGGGACTTGACCCCCGATAGGTAAATACCCCAGGAAGGGGGCCCGGGACTTGCCCTCAATAGGGAAATACCCCAGGGAAGGGGGCTCGGGGACTTGCCCCCGATAGGGAAATACCCCAGAGAAGGGGGCCCGGGACTTGCCCCAATAGGGAAATATCCAGGGAAGGGCCCGGGACTTGCCCCCGATAGGGAAAACCCAGGGAAGGGGCCCGGGGACTTGCCCCGATAGGAAATACCCCAGGGAAGGGGGCCGGGGACTTGCCCCGGGAAGCTACCCAGGGAAGGGGGCCCGGGACTTGCCCCCCGATAAGAAAATACCCCAGGGAAGGGGGGACTTGCCCCGATAGGAAATACCCAGGGAAGGGGGCCCGGGGACTTGCCCCCGATAGGAAAATACCCCAGGGAAGGGGGCCGGGGACTTGCCCCGATAGGGAAATACCCCAGGGAAGGGGGCCCAACTTGCCCAATAGGAAATACCCCAGGGAAGGGGGGACCCCCGATATACCCCAGGAAGGGGCCCGGGACTTGCCCCCGATAGGGAAATACCCCAGGAAGGGGGCCGGGACTTGCCCCGATAGGGAAATACCCCAGGGAAGGGGCCCGGGACTTGCCCCCGATAGGAAATTTGCCCCCAATAGGGAAATATTCCAGGGAAGGGGGCCCGGGGACTTGCCCCCGATAGGGAAATACCCCAGGGAAGGGGGCCCGGGGACTTGCCCCCGATAGGGAAATCCCCAGGGAAAGGGGGCCGGGGACTTGCCCCCAATAGGGAAATACCCAGGGAAGGGGGCCCGGGGACTTGCCCCCGATAGGAAATACCCCAGGGAAGGGGGCCCGGGGACTTGCCCCCGATAGGAAATACCCAGGGAAGGGGACCCCGGGGAAATACCCAGGGAAGGGGGCGGGGGACTTGCCCCCGATAGGAAATACCCCAGGGAAGGGGCCGGGGACTTGCCCCCGATAAGGAAATACCCCAGGGAAGGGGGCCCGGGGACTTGCCCCCGATAGGGAAATACCCCAGGGAAGGGGGCCCGGGGACTTGCCCCCGATAGGGAAATACCCCAGGGAAGGGGGCCGGGACTTGCCCCCATAGGGAAATACCCCAGGGAAGGGGGCCCGGGGACTTGCCCCCGATAGGAAATACCCCAGGAAGGGGCCGGGACTTGCCCCGATAGGGAATACCCAGGGAAGGGGGCCCGGGACTTGCCCCGATAGGGAAATACCCCAGGGAAGGGGGCCCGGGGACTTGCCCCGATAGGGAATACCCAGGGAAGGGGGCCCGGGGACTTGCCCCCGATAGGGAAATACCCCAGGGAAGGGGCCCGGGGACTTGCCCCCGATAGGGAAATACCCAGGGAAGGGGGCCGGGGACTTGCCCCCGATAGGGAAATACCCCAGGGAAGGGGGCCCAGGGACTTGCCCCCGATAGGGAAATACCCCAGGGAAGGGGCCGGGACTTACCCCCGATAGGGAAATACGGGAAGGGGGCCCGGGACTTGCCCCCGATAGGGAAATACCCCAGGGAAGGGGGCCGGGGACTTGCCCCGATAGGAAATACCCAGGAAGGGGGCCCGGGACTTGCCCATAGGGAAATACCAGGGAAGGGGGCCCGGGGACTGCCCCAATAGGGAAATACCCAGGAAGGGGCCCGGGGACTTGCCCCGATAGGGAAATACCAGGGAAGGGGGCCGGGGACTTGCCCCCGATAAGGAAATACCCAGGGAAGGGGCCGGGGACTGCCCCGATAGGGAAATACCCAGGAAGGGGGCCGGGACTTGCCCCCGATAGGAAATACCCAGGGAAGGGGGCCCTTGCCCATAGGGAAATACCCGGGAAGGGGCCGGGGACTTGCCCCCGATAGGAAAAATACCCCAGGAAGGGGGCCCGGGGACTTGCCCCGATAGGGAAATATTCCAGGGAAGGGGGCCGGGACTTGCCCCGGGAAATACCCAGGGAAGGGGCCCGGGGACTTGCCCCGATAGGGAAATACCCCAGGGAAGGGGGCCGGGACTTGCCCCCGATAGGGAAATACCCCAGGGAAGGGGGGGGGGGACTTCCCCGATAGGGAAATACCCCAGGGAAGGGGGCCGGGACTTGCCCCGATAGGGAAATACCAGGAAGGGGGCCGGGGACTTGCCCCCGATAGGGAAATACCAGGGAAGGGGGCCCGGGGACTTGCCCCAATAGGGAAATACCCCAGGGAAGGGGCCCGGGGACTTGCCCCGATAGGGAAATACCAGGAAGGGGCCCGGGGACTTGCCCCCGAAGGGAAATACCCCAGGGAAGGGGGCCCGGGGACTTGCCCCGATAGGGAAATACCCAGGGGGGGCCCGGGGACTTGCCCCCGATAGGGAAATATTCCAGGGAAGGGGGCCCGGGGACTTGCCCCCGATAGGGAAATACCGGAAGGGCCCGGGGACTTGCCCCCGATAGGGAAATACCCCGGGGAAGGGGGCCCGGGGACTTGCCCCCGATAGGGAAATACCCCCAGGGAAGGGGGCCCGGGGACTTACCCCCGATAGGGAAATACCCAGGGAAGGGGCCCGGGGACTTGCCCCCGATAGGGAAATAACCAGAGAAGGGGCCCGGGGACTTGCCCCCAATAGGGAAATACCCCGGGGAAGGGGGCCCGGGGACTTTCCCCCCGATAAGGAAATACCCCAGGGAAGTGGTCCCGGGGACTTACCCCCGATAGGGAAATACCCCAGGGAAGGGGGCCCGGGGACTTGCCCCCGATAGGGAAATACCCCCAGGGAAGGGGTTCCGGGGACTTGACCCCGATAGGTAAATACCCCAGGGAAGGGGGCCCAGGGACTTGCCCTCAAAAGGGAAATACCCCAGGGAAGGGGGCCCGGGACTTGCCCCGATAGGAAAATACCCCAGGGAAGGGGGCCCGGGGACTTGCCCCCAATAGGGAAATATTCCAGGGAAGGGGGCCCGGGGACTTGCCCCCGATAGGGAAATACCCCAGGGAAGGGGGCCGGGGGACTTGCCCCCGATAAGGGAAATACCCCAGGGAAGGGGGCCGGGGACTTGCCCCCAATAGGGAAATACCCCAGGGAAGGGGGCCCGGGGACTTGCCCCCGATAAGGAAATACCCCAGGGAAGGGGGCCCGGGGACTTGCCCCCGATAAGGAAATACCCCAGGGAAGGGGGCCCGAGGACTTGCCCCCGAAAGGTAAATACCCCAGGGAAGGGGGTCGGGGGACTTGCCCCCGATAAGGAAATACCCCAGGGAAGGGGGCCCGGGGACTTGCCCCCGATAAGGAAATACCCCAGGGAAGGGGGCCCGAGGACTTGCCCCCGATAGGGAAATACCCCAGGGAAGGGGGCCCGGGGACTTACCCCCGATAGGTAAATACCCCAGGGAAGGGGGCCCAGGGACTTGCCCTCATAGGGAAATAGGGAAGGGGGCCGGGGACTTGCCCCGATAGAAATTACCCCAGAGAAGGGGCCGGGGGAAATAGGGAAATACCCAAGGGAAGGGGGGCCCGGGGACTTGCCCCGATAGGGAAATACCCCCAGGGAAAGGGGGCCCGGGGACTTGCCCCTGATAGGGGAAATACCCCAGGGAAGGGGCCCGGGGACTTGCCCCCGATAGGGAAAACTTACCCCAATAGGGAAGGGAGGGGGCCCGGGGACTTGCCCCCGATAGGGAAATACCCCAGGGAAGGGGGCCGGGGACTTGCCCCCAATAGGGAAATACCCCAGGGAAGGGGGCCCGGGGACTTGCCCCAGATAGGGAAATATACCCCATAAAAGGGGGCCCGGGGACTTGCCCCCAATAGGGAAATACCCCAGGGTAGGGGGCCTGGGGACTTGCCTTCGATAGGGAAATACTCCAGAGAAGGGGGCCCGGGGACTTGCCCCCAAAAGGGAAATACCCCAGAGAAGGGGGCCCGGGGACTTGCCCCCGATAGGGAAATATTCCAGGGAAATACCCCAGGGAAGGGGGCCCGGGGACTTGCCCGCGATAGAAAAATACCCAAGAGAAGGGGGCCCAGGGACTTGCCCTCAATAAGGAAATATTCCAGGGAAGGGGGCCCGGGAACTGTCCACCAATAGGGAAATAACCCCAGAGAAAGGAGCCCGGGGACTTGCCCCGAATAGGGAATATTCCACAGGGAAAGGGGGCCCCGGGGACTTGCCCCGAAAGGAAATACCAGGGAAGGGGGCCGGGGAATTTGCCCCCGATAGGGAAATATTCCAGGGAAGGGGGCATGGAGACTTGCCCGAATAAGNGGGCCGGCGGACTTGCCCCCGATAAGGAAATTACCCCAGGGAGAAGGGGGCCCGGGGATTTGCCCCCGATAGGGAAATATTCCAGGGAAGGGGGCATGCCCCCGATAAGGAAAATACCCGAAGGGAAGGGGGCCGAGACTTGCCCCGATAGGGAAATACCCCAGGGAAGGGGGCCCGGGGACTTGCCCCGATAGGGAAATACCCCAGGGAAGGGGCCGGGGACTTGCCCCCAATAGGGAAATACCCAGGGAAGGGGCCCGGGACTTGCCCCCGATAGGGAAATATCCAGGGAAGGGGGCCGGGGACTTGCCCCCGATAGGAAATTACCCAGGGAAGGGGGCCCGGGGACTTGCCCCGATAGGGAAAAATACCCAGGGAAGGGGGCCCGGGACTTGCCCCGATAGGGAAATATTCCAGGGAAGGGGGCCCGGGGACTTGCCCCCAAAAGGGAAATACCCCAGGGAAAGGGGCCCGGGGACTTGCCCCCGATAGGGAAATACCCCAGGGAAGGGGCCCGGGGACTTTCCCCGATAGGGAAATACCCAGGGAAGGGGGCCCGGGGACTTGCCCCCGATAGGGAAATACCCCAGGGAAGGGGGCCCGGGGACTTGCCCCAGATAGGGAAATATACCCCATAAAAGGGGGCCCGGGGACTTGCCCCCGATAGGGGGGGGCCGGGGACTTGCCCCCGATAGGGAAATACCCCAGGGAAGGGGGCCGGGGACTTGCCTTCGATAGGGAAATACTCCAGGAGAAGGGGCCCGGGGACTTGCCCCCAAAAGGAAATACCCAGGAAAGGGGGCCCGGGGACTTGCCCCCGATAGGGAAATATTCCAGGGAAGGCGGCCCGGGGACTTGCCCCAACTAGGGAAATACCCCAGGGAAGGGGGCCCAGGGACTTGCCCCCGATAGGGAAACACCCCAGGGAAGGGGGCCCTGGGACTTGCCCCCAATAGGGAAATACCCCAGAGAAGGGGACTGCCCCGATAGGAAATATTCCAGGGAGGGGGCCCGGGGACTTGCCCCGATAGGGAAATACCCCAGGGAAGGGGGCCCGGGGACTTGCCCCCGATAGAGAAATACCGCATGGAAGGGGGCCCGGGGACTTGACCCCGATAGGTAAATACCCCAGGGAAGGGGGCCGGGGACTTGCCCCCAATAGGAAAATACTCCAGGAAGGGGGCCCGGGGACTTGACCCCGATAGGGAAATACCCCAGGGAAGGGGGCCGGGGGACTTGCCCCCGATAGGGAAATACCCCAGGGAAGGGGCCCGGGGACTTGCCCCCATAGGGAAATACCCCAGGGAAGGGGCCGGGGGACTTACCCCCGATAGGAAATACCCCAGGGAAGGGGCCCGGGGACTTGCCCCCGATAGGGAAATACCCAGGGAAACTTGATAGGGCCCAGGGAACGGGACTTCCCCGATAGGGAAATTCCAGGGAAGGGGCCCGGGGACTTGCCCCGATAGGGAAATACCCCAGGGAAGGGGGCCCGGGGACTTGTCCCCGATAGGGAAATACCCCAGGAAGGGGCCCGGGACTTGCCCCCAATATGGAAATACCCCAGGGAAGGGGGCCCGGGGACTTGCCCCCGATAGGGAAATACTCCAGAGAAGGGGGCCCGGGGACTTGCCCCCGATAAGGAAATACCCCAGGGAAGGGGGCCCGGGGACTTGCCCCCAATAGGGAAATACCCCAGGGAAGGGGGCCCGGGGACTTGCCCCCGATAGGGAAATACCCCAGGGAAGGGGGCCCGGGGACTTCCCCGATAGGGAAATACCCAGGGAAGGGGCCGGGGACTTGCCCCCGATAGGGAAATACCAGGGAAGGGGGCCGGGGACTTGCCCCCATAGGAAATACCCCAGGGAAGGGGGCCCGGGGACTTGCCCCCGATAGGAAATACCCCAGGGAAGGGGGCCGGGACTTGCCCCGATAGGGAAATACCCCAGGGAAGGGGGCCCGGGGACTTGCCCCCGATAGGGAAATACCCCAGGGAAGGGGGCCCAGGGACTTGCCCTCGATAGGGAAATACTCCAGAGAAGGGGGCCCGGGGACTTGCCCCGATAGGGAAATACCCCAGGGAAGGGGGCCCGGGGAATTGCCCCCGATAGGGAAATAACCAGAGAAGGGGGCCGGGGACTTGCCCCCAATAGGGAAATACCCCAGGGAAGGGGGCCCGGGGACTTGCCCCCGATAGGGAAATACCCCAGGGAAGGGGCCGGGACTTGCCCCCGATAGGGAAATACCCCAGGGAAGAGGGCCCGGGGACTTGCCCCCGATAGGGAAATACTCCAGAGAAGGGGGCCCGGGGACTTGCCCCCGATAGGGAAATATTCCAGGGAAGGGGGCCGGGGACTTGCCCCGATAGGTAAATACCCAGGGAAGGGGGCCAGGGACTTGCCCTCAATAGGGAAATACCAAGGGAAGGGGGCCCGGAGGACTTACCCCGATAGGAAAATACCCCAGAGAAGGGGGGACTTGCCCCCGATTGGGCCAGGGGGCCGGGGACTTGCCCCCGATAGGTAAATACCCCAGGGAAGGGGGCCCGGGGACTTGCCCCCGATAGGGAAATACCCATGGAAGGGGGCCGGGACTTGCCCCAATAGGAAATACCCCTGGGAAGGGGGCCGGGGACTTGCCCCGATAAGGAAATATTCCAGGAAGGGGCCCGGGACTTGCCCCCGATAGCGAAATATTCCAGGGAAAGGGGCCCGGGGACTTGCCCCCGATAGGGAAATACCCAGAGAAAGGGGCCCGGGGACTTGCCCATAGGGAAATTCCAGGGAAGGGGGCCCGGGGACTTGCCCCCAATAGGGAATACCCAGGGAAGGGGCCCGGGGACTTGCCCCCATAGGGAAATACCCCAAGGAAAGGGGCCCGGGACTTCCCCCGATAGGGAATACCCCAAGGAAGGGGGCCGGGGACTTGCCCCCGATAGGAAATCCAGGGAAGGGGCCCGGGATTTGTCCCCGATAAGGAAATACCCCAGGAAGGGGGCCCGGGACTTGCCCCCGATAGGGAAATATTCCAGGGAAGGGGGCCCGGGGACTTACCCCCGATAGGGAAATACCCCAGGGAAGGGGCCCGGGGACTTACCCCGGGTGAATACCCCAGGGAAGGGGGCCGAGGACTTGCCCCGATAGGGAAATACCCAGGGAAGGGGGCCCGGGGACTTACCCCCGATAGGGAAATACCCCAGGGAAGGGGGCCCAGGGACTTCCCCCGATAGGAAATACCCCAGGGAAGGGGGCCCGGGGGACTTGCCCCCAATAGGGAAATTCCAGGGAAGGGGGCCCGGGGACTTGCCCCGATAGGCAAATATCCCGGGGAAGGGGCCGGGGGACTTGCCCCCAATAGGGAAATACTCCAGGGAAAGGGGCCCGGGGACTTGCCCCCGATAAGGAAATACCCCAGGGAAGGGGGCCCGGGGACTTGCCCCAAAAGGAAATACCAGGGAGGGGGCCGGGGACTTGCCCCAATAGGGAAATATTCCAGGGAAGGGGGCCGGGGACTTGCCCCCGATAGGAAATACCCCAGGGAAGGGGGCCCGGGGACTTCCCCCGATAGGGAAATACCCCAGGGAAGGGGGCCGGGGACTTACCCCAATAGGGGAATTACCCAGGGAAGGGGGCCGGGGACTTGCCCCCGATAGGAAATACCCCAGGGAAGGGGCCCGGGGACTTGCCCCGATAGGGAAGTACCCCAGGGAAGGGGCCCGGGGACTTGCCCCCGATAGGGAAATACCCAGGAAGGGGCCGGGGACTTCCCCCGATAGGGAAATATTCCAGGGAAGGGGGCCCGGGGACTTGCCCCCGATAGGGAAATACCCCAGGGAAGGGGGCCGGGACTTGCCCCCGATAGGGAAATACCCCAGGGAAGGGGCGGGGACTTGCCCCCCAGGGGGGGCCCGGGGACTTGCCCCGATAGGGAAATACCCCAGGGAAGGGGGCCCGGGGACTTGCCCCCGATAGGGAAATACCCCAGGGAAGGGGGCCCGGGGACTTGCCCCGATAGGGAAATACCCAGGGAATGGGACTTGCCCCGATAGGAAATCCAGGGAGGGGGCCCGGGACTTGCCCCCCGATAGGGAAATACCCCAGGGAAAGGGGGGCCGGGGAATTGGCCCCGATAGGGAAATACCCCAGGGAAGGGGGGGGACTTGCCCCGATAGGAATATTCCAGGGAGGGGCCCGGGGACTTGCCCCGATAGGAAATTACTTGCCCCCGATAGGAAATACCCAGGGAAGGGGGCCCGGGGACTTCCCCGATAGGAAATACCCCAGGAAGGGGGCCCGGGGACTTGCCCCCGATAGGGAAATACCCCAGGGAAGGGGGCCGGGGACTTGCCCCCGATAGGGAAATACCCTAGGGAAGGGTGCCCGGGGGACTTGCCCCCGATAGGGAAATATTCCAGGGAAGGGGGCCCGGGGACTTACCCCCGATAGGGAAATACCCCAGGGAAGGGGGCCCCGGGACTTGCCCCCCAATAGGAAATACCCCAGGGAAGGGGCCCGGGACTTGCCCCCGAAGGAAATACCCCAGGGAAGGGGCCCGGGGACTTGTCCCCGATAGGGAAATACCCCAGGGAAGGGGGCCGGAGGACTTTCCCCCGATAGGGAAATACCCCAGGGAAGGGGGCCCGAGGACTTGACCCCAATACGGAAATACCCCAGGGAAGGGGGCCCAGGGACTTGCCCCCGATAAGGAAATACCCCAGGGAAGGGGGCCCGGGGACTTGCCCCCAATAGGGAAATACCCCAGGGAAGGGGGCCCGGGGACTTGCCCCCGATAGGGAAATACCCCAGGGAAGGGGGCCCGGGACTTGCCCCCAATAGGGAAATACCCCAGGGAAGGGGCCGGGACTTGCCCCCAATAGGGAAATACCCCAGGGAAGGGGCCCGGGGACTTGACCCCCAATAGGAAATACCCCAGGGAAGGGGCCCGGGACTTGCCCCCGATAAGGAAATATCCCAGGGAAGGGGCCCGGGACTTGCCCCA